GGCCTAACAGCAAAGACCTTGAGGACAAGGCTGGGCTGCGGAAGCGAGGTCTCACCCCGGAGGTCACTTTAATGCCGTGACGACGCCCCGGGATACGGTGCCTTCACCATACGTGCAGGGCAAAGGGGACTGGGGTGCGAATAGCTATGGCGGAGTACGGCACGGCGTGGGCGGCCGGCGCTTTATTTCAAACGCCTGTGAACCACGACCCAGCCGTTCGAGGGGCTGTACTCCTGGCCCACGCGTGCGCATCTGCTCACTGGGAGTCTCCCACCTTCCCTAATGAACAGGAGCTGCTGTCACACAGTAAAGTCTACAGGAAAACGGAAAGGCCAGCAGGTGGCCAGGGGCTGAGGAGCTGAGTCCCACACGGCTGACCATGCAGTTCAAGTCCTGGACCCAGCGGCTTGAAAACACGCTGACTGCACTGTGTATGCCCACAGTCCCAGAAAGAGAGATGGAGAAGGGACCGTGGCATGACCATTCCCCTGGAAGGACGCCCTGCTTCCCTCTTACTCCCTGTCCAGGGAGTGAGTGCACATGCCCTCAGGGGAATTTTTAAAAATCAAAATAATCAAATAACCAAATAGCTTTTTCCTTCAGTTCGTGCTTCTCGGCAAGGCATAGTCACACCATCAGCCATCCGCGGAAACAAAGCAGCCCACCGCACACGGGAGTGGGGTCGGGCGCTCCCTGGCTAGCACGGCCGGCCCTCGGCCCCAGCAGCTCGGAGCCTTGCTAGCCCCAGAGAACCCGAGGGGGCCAGGCGTGGCAGCAGAGCCAACGTTGGAGAGCCTGGGTACGTGAGACCTCGCAGGACAGACGTCCCCACTGAAGGGCCAGAGCTGGGACACTGTGTAGTCGTCACCAAGCCAAGAGGCCGACAGGACGGCTGCGCCCCCGGCCTCTCCAGCGGCCCCTCCTGGCAGTGGCCACCAGCCTGCACAGGGACTGATGGCACGTGTGTCCACACCGTCCTGCGTCTCCACACACGCGCACGTGTGTCCACACCGTCCTGCGTCACCACACACGTGCACCCCCCCCGGCGCCCTCCCCGGCCAGTGCCCCCCAGCCTGCACAGGGACTGATGGCACGTGTGTCCACACCGTCCTGCGTCTCCACACATGCGCACATGGTGCCTCTGTGCCGTCCTGCGTCTCCACACACGCGCACGTGTGTCCACACCATCCTGCGTCACCACACACGTGCACGTGTGTCCACACCGTCCTGCATCTCCACACACGTGCACGTGTGTCCTCTGTGCCGTCCCGCGTCTCCACACATGTGCACATGCACGGGTTCACATGCTCCCCCCACATTGCGTTTGAATTCCTGCGGCCGAGGGCGCTCAGCGCTCTTTCGCTCCCGAGCGGTCGGGGTGGGAGTACTTCATCTCCCCTTCTCCTGGCGGCTCGGGTCAGCTCTGCCCTTGACTCAGAGCGAGTAGAGTGACGCTGTGTGAACGCTCTCGCAGTGGGTTTCCCTGTTTACAAACGCTTCTCTAGGTGGGCTTAGCTGCAGGACTGCACTCCAAGCTTTCTGGGTAGTGACGAGTGATTTCCGGGGAGACGTGACCTCGCCAGGATTCACGCTCCTACCGCAGTTCACCAGACTCGCTGCGCCCTGTCCTCCGGGCCTCACTGACGGACGCACGTTTGGCCACGCGGCTTTAATCTTTTCCCTATTTTCTTCTCGATGTTATAAAGGTCTGCCCTTCTCATTTAGGTCCTTGTCCTTTCTTAATTTGCTTTTTGTGCGTGAAGTAATATACCTACCTACCACATTTTCTTTAGAACATTTCCTTGTATTTCTCATAAAGAGACTCTTCAAAGGCAGATTTTTCTGGCCCCTTGTCTCTACTCGTAACGCTTTTGAGGAGAGCTCATGGACTGATTGAAGACCGTGCAGAGCTGCAGAGCTGCAGGGAAGTGCACTTTATTAAGTTCTGTGCTTTCTAATTTTTTCTAAATATTATTTTTCAACAGAACTTTGCATTTTCCATCTGTCAAGTGTCTCCTCCCCTCGCACCTAACTTTAAAAGCATGCTTGCTTGCTTTCTTCTTTTTTGAGGAATTTTTGCTGTAGGGTGCATGTGCTTTCCTTTCCAGAGAGGCAGAAGGGAAGAAATCACCCCCATCCCAAAGTGGATGGCCACGCTGCAATCCCTTGTCCTCCATTCTCCTCTCAGGATTTTTGGCACACATGCACATGAGCCCAGTGTGAGTTTCAAGCCACCGGATATGGGACTTGAACCCCAGTTGACCACATGGGAGTCCAGTGCCTTAACTGCTACACCACCTGCTGGTCCCTAAAATACACTTCCTAAAGAATAAAAAGATGGTCGGTTTTTATTGGAAATTGAATAAATGAAATTTTGAATAGTGAATATCATTTTGCACCTCATAAATTAGAAAACGCATTTTAGTGAAATTCACCAGTGAGTGCACTGAGGAACGAACACTGGCCCTCAGTCACGTGTAACCCTTCTGCATTTAATTTAAAATATAGCTTTATCCTGGCCTGGTGTCTTGAAAATTCACAGCAGGTGCATGTGCGCTTCTGCCCGAAATCCCAGGACAATGGCGGAGGGATTTCAGCACGGCCTTCCCAGGCGTGGATTTCTTGCTTTCTGTCTCCCCCACAAGCGCACATGCCCTACAGCAAAAGTCTCTCTTAAAAAAAGAGAAAAGTGAGCTTTATAGAATCTATCCTATGAAAACAATTTTAAAATAAGAAAAACTCACTGTGCTAAAATATACACTGCAGTGTTTTATGGGCGTACACAAAGTAGCAAAAATGAAAAAGGCTCAACAATGATTAGGTAACACACACACACACACACAAATGAGACATCACATAGCTGCTAAAGTTGTTGATCTAAAACAATCGCATTTCATATTTACTATGCTTAGGGCAAAACAAAACGGTTTAAAACTACATTAAAAGAAAAACAGGCAAAAAAATGGTTAGGGGCTGAACAGTGGCACAGCAAAAGGACACACCATCCTGCAAGGCAGCCCACGTGGGAAGGTTGCTGGTTCAAGTCCGGACCTCCCTGCACACAGGGGGCACAGGCATGCCCGTGAGGCAGGGTGGCTGAAGGTGGGGCGTGGGTCGCGGCACTACCCGGCCGCTGGGGCGCTGCTCCTGTCCTCCCTCGCTTGTGGAAGAAGTGGTGCACAGCTAGAAGGGCGAGGGAAGCCGTGAGAGGGCGGTAGTGCCTACTGGAGGCTTCCCTCTCACACGCATTCTTTTTTCAAGACTAATGTTCTATAAGTTTGTATTGCTTGTGTGGTAGAAAACATGTGAGATACAATTTCATTATCAAAATTAAAAGTACTCAGTTTGGGGAATGTGGCATTGATGCAAAGTATTTTAAGAGAATTTGCTCACATGCACATGCGCTCACAGGAGGGAGAGAGGAGAGAGGAGAGAGCGCACCCCTCCGTGGGAAGGGTCACACTGCGGCCTTCACCTCCCTCCTGGGCACACACATGCACCCAGCTTGTTTCTCAAGGTGCCGAGTCCAGGACTCGAACTGCGAAGTCAGTCACGCATGAGCCAGCCACTGTAAGTGTTTCTGACACCGTGTGCCTCCTGCCAGCTGGATGGAGGACAGGACGCGGGGGCAGGCGGGCGGGCACTGCTAGACGTGGCTGCGCATCGACCCGCAAATCCATGGCAGGAGCCCCCTCGGGGGCAGGAGTTCCCGCCATGCAGTGCTCGCATGCACCACGCACTTGCACACAGCATGCACCCTGCCAGTGGAGAGCTGAGTTCTGACTTACAGGTGATGAGGCTGAAACTCACGAAGTAGGTAACGTGGCCGAGCGTGGCACGGTGCCAGCACAGAGTAAGTGCTTAATTAAGAGCCTCTGAGCAGACACTAGGTGTACGCTAAGGGACGAGCCAGGAGTCAGACCCAGGTGTGTTGTGTCACGTGGCCGGCACTGTCCCCAGGGACACTGCCTTCCGTCTGAGACTATGTGAGCCAGTTACGGGGACAGAAACCAGCGCGGATGTACCACAGGGCCCAGAAACACAGCTACCTATGGCTCCCACCTCCATCCTAAAACGATTTCAGTTTTGAAATGGGTACTTGGTAAAAGATGAGAAAAGATAGAAAATACACGGAGGAGCTTCCAGGGCATTTTTAATCATTCAGCGTGCACAGTCCATGAAAGTAACGCGCTCACATGAAAGCATCAGACACCCGTGGGTCATTTCATTAGCCAAGAACACTCGTGCTTCTCATTGAATTCTACCAAGTTCTTTAAAATGCTTCCTATTACCCTAAGTGTGTTACTTTAATTTTATTAATGTTACATGTTATCTTTTCCCTTCTTTGCCCCAGACTTATGCTAAAACAAATCACTTGAAAATGTGAAATGAACGTGGCTCGCTTTCTGAGCTGCTTCGTCTCCTGCATCAAAATATCTTACAGCTATAGAAGCTGAAAATATTCATTATGTAAATATACCTGTATTGAATACTTTATTAAATAGAGCTCTTCTTTAAAAAAAAATAAAACAACTTCTACCAACTACTTTAAAAGATTTCCTATGAAAACATCATTTAAAATCTGCTATTTTATTTTTTATGAAGGTTAGGTGTTATGTCTCTCCCTTCTTTACCCCATACTTATACCAAAACAAATGATCTGAATAAAATTTAAAAAGTGCCATGCTTTTGATCTGTTTTACTGAGAAATACCTCTGCCGTTTTTGTTGTATATGGTCACCCGCTTACTGTAAGTGAGTACCCTGGAATTATGCCATTCTGCTATCCAGTGCAGAGGGCCAAAACATGTAAGGGGATGGTACAAACTTCAAGATGACTAATTTAAAGCAGATGCATAGATGCATATTCAAGTGCTACACATGTAGATCTGGTCTATTTAAATTTACCAAGAAGGGGAAGAGTGTCTATGCTTTGCATTCGGCAGCTACACCCTTATGATAACTAATTACCACTTCTCAAAGCACTGCTGTTGGGTAGGTCTTACTGGAGGGGAAGGCTTATAAAACATGAGCTTCCTCCTGGAAAACTGAAAATACAAACAGACTTAAAAAAATATGATATTACATATTCAAGATGGTGGCCTGAAGGGAAGACTATCCAACAAGCGATAGGGCCATCAAATGGAAAGACCTTCGCTCTGCCCAAGATCTAGAGTCTGAGACTTGCATTTGATACATTTAGCTGGATTTTGTTTTCTGATTATACTTAACCACCAAACTGGGTTGTGTACCATAGCAATTTTTATTTACCTGGATATTAAAAGAAAAGTGACTGGATTCTAAAGACAAATTAATAATGTTGAGTTTAAATGAAAAATTTCTCAGTGGAAAATACTTATCTTGTTGGGTAAATACATTTCAAATGATTAAAGACATTACACAAAGTAAGCTGCTTCTATAAATAGTTTAACTTGAAATAATTTTTTAAAAAGTTAATGAAAGCTATGAAGAAGAGGACTAGTCAAAGCAAAAGGCACCTTAGCAGACACACACTTGTCTCCTCACAGAGGCAGAGGTTGGGATGGCTCTTGGGGCCTACAGGAGGGTCGCTTCAGCCCGCGCCCCTTCCGTCCCAGCGCCTGCCTGAGCTGGCACGCTCAGTACCAGGGAAAGCCAGGAGCAGCCCACCTCGCTGTATAAAGCACACTCACACCCTTGAGTTAAGACAGCTCGTCGCTCTTTTCCATACGTTTTTCTAAAACACTCTAAGCTGAAGAATTGCTCATACACTACAAAACGACTGAATCGTTTATATGATGAGCTTGGTAAGCTGACATTGAACAGAAAAACAAGGAAGGAATTTATCTTTGGTAGTGAGAAAACCTTCAGATGGTTTGTGTTCTCTTCTTTCCACGTGAAGGGTCTTGATGGCTCCACGTGAGCAAGCCATGGAGGGGAGGCTTCCAGCGCTCTTCCCGCCCGCCGCGCTCAGTTCACTCTCAGGACGCGGTACATGCTGTTCTGGAACACCGGGGTGAAGTACGGCCTCGGGTCCTTGAGCAGGACGCTGCACAGGGGTGGGCGGGCGGCGTTGGAGGGGTCTTCCACATCCCAGATCTCCAGCATACTGCAACCGGGCCTGGAAGCACAAGCTGCATCCATCACCAGCACACTCACGCCAAGGGACTCGTCCCTCGCAAAGTATCGCCTAGGCTTTCAGAAGCGAACGTGCTTAACAAACATTTTAAGCTTCATTTTCTAAAAATAACTTCAACATTAAGAACTGATAAAAATGAAAAAAATTCAGGTATATTTCATTTTCGTGCCTCATGCAACCAAATGATGAAACGAAGCCTCATAGTAAACATGACCAATGCACATTCAGGAACATGCACGTTCGGGTACATGTATGTTCAGCAACACACACGTTCAGTGCCATGCATGTTGGGTAACATGCATGTTCAGCAATCTGCACATTTGGTAACGTGTGTTCAGTAACATGCGCCTTCAGTAACATGCATGTTCAGAAGTCCATGTTCAAGGGGAGCCCTGGTGGGCAGCTGCACGGCAACACTCCGTGATGCTGAGGCCCTGTGGGGGGTTTCGGTCCCTGTCCTGAGGCCTTCCTGTGCGTGGCAGGTGCATGCACACTCATGGTGCTGGCAGAGGCCGGGGCAGCTTCTCTGTGTGATAAGATCTCTCTTTCTGTATCCCTCTCTCATGAAGAAGTAAATAAACATTTGCTAAAAGGAACTTATACCTAAAAGCATTTACATTTCCAAATGAAGTACAAATAGGCATCATTCTAAATGCCATTAGCACGCAAACATAAGCACCTTTATAGTGGAGTGGGACTAGTTAAAGGGAGGTAAACCAAACTCCTGATGGATTTCGCACTCGAGAGTGCGAGCTGCTTTGGGTTCGCATGCCAACCTGTTGTCCAAGGAAAGGAGGCTCTTCTGACAGTGTGTCCCCCCCCCCCACCCTTTCCCATTCAGACACTCGGAGTGGCTAAATGGGACAATATTTCTCACTAGTGAGGAGCCCAGCAAGGGGAAAGAAGTCAGGCAAAATTGCTTCCTAATTTCTGCGACATTTATATTGAGGTATAATTTATGCACAACAAACTCACTTGTTTTCTGTGCAAAGTCTGATGCATGTGGGCAGGTGTGTTTGGCTGCGCGAATGCCATTCCAATCACAACGTGGAAAACTAGCATTGCCCAGCCAGGTCCTCTGCGCTCTGAACACACCCAGGCAGCCAGCTACCTTTCTGCATCCCAGCTTTGCATGCTCCAGAATTTCAAACATATACCTGGCCGGTGGGCTTTTGCTTCCTGCCCGGTGGGCTTTTGCTTCCTGCCCTTCAATTTTGCATGTTGTATTGCACCATGCCCTGGGGGCTGCTGTCCTCGCGACCGTTATTAGACTCATCGCTGCTGTTCCGATTGCTGAGCAGCCACTTCACTGTGCGGAAGGACCACAATCTGCCCATCCGTTTGCAGGTTAATGCACATTTGAGATGTGATAATGAACAATGCTGCTGTCAACATCCGTATGGAGAGATACAGAGACAGAGAGAGACAGCAAGAGAGCATGCCCCCAGAGAGGCTTAATGTCACAGTCCACCCTCAGTGTCACAGGCAAGGACGTGCCTGGCCTCCCGCGGGTGGAGCCTGGAACTCCCCCACGCGGCAGTTTTTCAGAGCATCCTGTCTCACCGCTGTGTCACTGTCTGCCTGCCATCCCACATCCGCATGTGTTATGTTTTCACTTCCATTGAGTTCAAATGTTTTCTAATCTCTCTTATAACTTTTATCTTTGGCACAAGGGTTACGAGTGTCATGGCAGGAGTCATGATATTGATAACAGACAAAAGAGACTTTAGGACAGAAAGAGTAAAAAGAGATTTTACAAAAGGACAGTACCTCCTTCTAAAATGGTTAATCCAGCAACAATCATACATTTTTATGCACCCCATGCCAGGGCAGACAAATATGTAAAAGAAAGACTGCTGCATCTAAAGTGAGACACAGATGGCAACTCACTAACTGTTGGGGGTTTCAACTCCCACTGTCATCACCTCTGGCAGGTCAACTAGACAAAAAATTAACAAAGAGACACAGGAGCAAAATGATACCATAAACCAAATGAACCTGACAGACATACATAGAGAGCATTCCAGCCAGCAACTATAAAATACACGTTTTTTCTTATCTCCATGTGGAACATTTTCAAAGACTGACCACATAATAGGCCACAAAACAAGCCTCTACAAATCTGAAAGTATAGAAACTATACCCAGTATCTTCTCTGACCATACGGAATTAAAATTGAACTCAACCGCAGAAAGAGCACTTGAAAATACGCAAGAAGATAGAAACTGAACAACCTTCTCCTGAATGACTTTCAAACTACTGTAGAAGTTAAGACTGAAATCAAGAGGTTCACTGAAACCAACACTGAACACACCACTCTCCATAACCTTTAGGAGACAGCAAAAGCGGTCACAAGAGAGAAATTCATAGCCATTAGAACTCATAGGAAAAGAAAGGTGGCAAACAAATAACATCACATCTCAAGTAACTGGAAAAGCAACAACAGAAAAACACCCAAAGAAACAGAAGAAAGGAAAAAGTAAAGATTAGAGCTGAAATAAATGAAATAGAAAATAAGAGAACTATACCCCCCAGAAAAAAAAAAAAGTCAAGAAAAAAATAAGCTGGTTTTTTTTTTTTTTTTGTGTTTTTTAGAGAAAAAAAAAAAAATGTTGTTTTTTTTTTTTTTTTTTTTTTTTTTTTTTTTTTTTGCTGGGGAGGATAAACAAACTTGACAAACCATTAGCTAGACTAATCAAGAAAAATAGAGAATGGGACTAGGTAGATAAAGATGGTAACGAAGATGGTAATATCACAACTGATATATAAGAAGTACAAACATTGTGAAAGAATACTACAAGCAAGTATATGCCAGCAAACTACAAAACCTAGATGACAGAAATAAATTTCTAGATACATACAGGTTACCTAGGCTGAATCAGGATGAAACAGAAACCTGAACAGACCAATAACAAGTGGTAGGATTGAATCAATAATAGTCTCCCAACAAAGAGCCAAGGTCCAGATAGATTCACTTCTGAATTCTACAAAACTTTAAAAAAAGAGCTAACCTCAATTCTCCTCAAACTATTTCTGAAGATTCAAAAGAAAGGAACACTCGCCCTTCCAAATCCGTTCTATGAAGTCTCCATTATCTTGATACCAAAACCAGACAAGGACATAAACAAAGAAAGAAAACTATAGGCCAATATCCCCAATGAATACTGATGTGAAAATCTCAACAAGTTACTAGCAAACTGAATCCAACGGTACGTTAAATAGATTATACACCTCAACCAGGTAGGCTTTACCCCAGGGATGCAAGGATGGTTCAACCTATGCAAAGCAATAAATGTAACACATCACATTAACAGAAAGAAAGATGAAAAACCATATGATCATATCTGTATATGCAGAAAAAACATTTGATAAAATACAACATCCCTTCATGATCAAGGCTCTCAGCAAAATAGGCGTAGGGACATTTCTGAACACAATAGAAGCTAGATAGGACAGACACATTGTGAACATCATACTAAGTGGGGAAAAGCTGAAAGCTTTCCTACTAAAAACTGGAGCAAGATAAAGCTCCTACATTCTCCACTCCTTTTCAACATAATGCTGAAAGTCCTAGCCAATGCAATCAGACAAAAGAGCAAAATGGAAGGCACTCAGATAGGAAAAGAAACTAAACTACTCCTATTTGCAGATGGTATGATCATATACATAGAAAATTCAAAGGGACCTATGAAAAAACTCCTAGAAGTGGTAATGAATTCAGTAAAGTGGCAGAATACAAAATCAATATACAACGATCTATAGTATTTTTAGACACTACCAAGAAATACACCAAGATAGAATTGAAGAAAGGAATCTCATTTACTATCACCACAAAATGAATAAGATACCTAGGAATAAACCTAACCAAAGAAGTAAAAGACCTCTACAGGAAAACTATAAAAAACTGAGAGAGAAATTGATACTGACACAAGAAAGAAAGAAAGAAAAAGGAAGAAAGAAAGAAAGAGAGAAAGACAGACATAGATATCCCACGTTATTGGGTTAGAGAAATCAATATAACCAAATGTCAGTTCTACCCAAATTAATTTATACAGTCGATGCAATTTCAATATAATTGCCAATTACATTCTCTCTCTCTATATATATATATATAGAAAAAAAAGTCAGTTATACAATCTGTCTGGAATAATAAAAGACCCCTTATTGCCAAGGTAATACTGTGAAAAAATAATAAAATAGAAGGCATCTCATTACCCCACTTCAAAACATATTACCCAGTGGTAATAATCAAAACAACATAGTACTAGCACAAAAATAGACACATAGACCAATGAAACAGAATAGAGAATCCGGAAATAAACCCCAAATCATACAGCCAACTAATCTTTGACAAAGGGTACAAGACAATGCAGTGGAGAAAAGAAAGACTTTTTTAGCAAATGGTGCTGGAAGAATTGAATATTCATGTGTAAAAAAAGGAAACAGCTTAACAAGAATCACTATTAACAAGAATCAACTCAAAATTGATCAAAGATTTAAATATAAAGCCTACAACTGGGAAAAAGTCGGGGGAGCCTGGGGAAAACTCTCAAAGACATTAGAGTAAGCAAAGATTATTTAACAAGACCCCTAAAGCACAGGCAATAATCCCCAAAATAGACAACTGAGATTACATCAACCACGAACCTTTCTCACAGCAAAGAAAACTATAATTAGAGTGAAAAGACAACATTTGAAATGGAGGAGAATACTTGCAAATTATTCCTGACAAGGAACTGATAATCGGAGTTTATAAGGAACTCAAGCAGCTCACCCATAAAAAATGAACAATCCAATTTAAAAATGAGTGAATGAATTGAATAGACAACTCTCCAAAGGAGATTTATAAATGTCCAAATGGCATATGAAAAGTGTTCGAAGTCTCCTAGGAAATGCAAATTAAAACCACAACAAGATATCATTTAACCCCAGTTAGAATGGCTAGGATCAAAAGAAATAAAGAACAAGAGCTGGCAAGGCTATGATGAAAAGGAG